GCTGGCTGCCAATTCCCCAGTGGAGGACCGACAAGGTGTAGCTTCCTGCATGCAAACCAATGGACTAATGTTTGGTATTTTTGATGGACATGGCGGCCATGCATGTGCACAAGCGGTGAGTGAGAGGCTCTTCTACTACATGGCAGTGTCCCTGATGTCCCAGCAGACCTTGGGGCAGATGGAGGAAGCAATGGAAAGAAAACATGAAGCCTTTGCTACCCATCCTTCAGTGGCTCAAGCATCCTGGGGATAGTATTTATAAGGATGTCACATCAGTACATCTGGACCACCTCCAAGTCTATTGGTAGGAACATCTTGACCTACTTATGGAAATGGGCTTGAGCATCTAAGAAGCATTGATGTACTCCTTCCAGAGACCGGATTCTGATATCTCACTAGAAATTCAGGCTCCTCGAAAAGATGAGGTGACCAAGAACTTATCCCTCCAGGTTGCTTTTTCTGGGGCAACAGCTTGCATGGCCCATGTCAATGGAATTCACCTGCATGTAGCAAATGCTGGTGACTGCCGGGCTATCCTTGGTGTCCAGGAAGATAATGGTGTGTGGTCCTGCTTACCTCTTACCCGTGACCACAATGCTTGGAATGAAGCTGAGCTGTCCCGGCTTAAGAGAGAACACCCTGAGTCTGAGGACAGAACACTCATCATAGATGATAGGCTGCTGGGTGTCCTCATACCCTGCAGGGCCTTTGGGGATGTCCAACTGAAATGGAGTAAAGAGTTGCAGCGTAGTGTCCTGGAGAGGGGCTTTGATACTGAGGCCCTCAACATCTACCAGTTCACACCACCCCACTACTACCCGCCACCCTATCTGACTGCCAAGCCTGAGGTTACATACCACAAGCTGGGGCCCCAAGATAAGTTCCTTGTGCTGGTCTCAGATGGTCTAGGGGACATGCTGGGCAATGTGGATGTGGTTAGGCTGGTGGTAGGGCACCTATCCAAGGTTGGTTGCCATAAACTGGACCTGGACCAAAGACCAGCCAACCTGGGCCTCATGCAGAGTCTGCCGCTGCAGAGGAAAGCCAGTGGCCTCCGTGCAGCTGCCCAAAATGCAGCCACCATCTGATCACACATGCCATCGGAAGTAACGAGTACAGGGACATGGACCCAGAGAGACTGGATGCCATTCTGACATTACCAGAAGATGTAGCCAGGATGTACCAGGATGATATCACTGTCATGGTGGTGTTTTTTAACTCAGAGTCAATTGATACATATTATAAGGAGGGTTAAGAGGCTTTCCCCGTTGCCGAAGCTAACATGAATACCATTTAAAACATTTTCACTTCTAAGTGAGCAATTCAGACCTTATTAAGGAATAGGCAGATTTAGGTTGCTGAGTAATTGACTAAAAAGGAAGGTAAGGAAACTCAGACTTGGTAGCATTAGCAGTGATTTTTGTCTCTGAGTGCACTGGCCAACTCTTCTTTGCAGCAGAGAATAAAGACTAAAAATGGCTTAGGCTCATGTAGCCCACATCCTTTATAACGATACAAACTGTGTCATCCTGTGTTTTTAAAGATTAAATTCAATCATGGGTCTAAGAATAAATAATTTCAGGATCTATTGAGACCCAGCTGAAACAAATAGGCTTTAAATTAAAATTAATCAAAAGAGATTAATAAGGACATTTCATATTCATCACAGGAAAAAAAACAAATTGAAGTGTTAATTCTGACTATTTTTGCCACAAATACAAGGGCACCAACATTTGTAAAGAAACATTACTGAAGCTTAAATCACGTATCAAATGCCAAACACTATAGTTCGAGACTTCAACACCCCAATCTCTCCATTGTACAAGACTTACAGATAGAAATTTAACAGAAAAACATAACTACACAGAGACATACTGTCTCAAAAAGCCAAAAAAGTTGGCTTCACAGAAAAATTGGAATCAATCTACTCAGGACCCAGCAATACCATTCCTATGAATGTACCCAAAGCAAGCACAATCACACCATAATGTCATGTGCTCAACTGTGTTCATAGCATCATTATATGTAATAGCCAACACCTGGAAACAACCTACATTCCCATCAGCCAAAGAACAGTTATAGAAAATGTGGTGTATTTACACAATGAATTATTACTCAGAGGTATAAAGCAAGGATATCTTGAGGTTTTCAGGCCAATTGATGGAGCTAGAAAGAAATCATCCTGAGTAGGTATCTGAGACTCAGAAAGACAAACCTGGTTTGTACTCATTCATGAGTGGATATTATATGTAAAGCAAAGGATAAACAGGCTGCAATATAAAACCACAGAGAAGCTAAGTAAAAAGGGGAAACATAAGAGGAACACACGTAGAAGACCCCAGGAATAAAAAATAGGATCTCCTGGGTAAACAAGAAGGGGTCCGAATGTAAGGGACGTGGGATGGGAGCTGCTACGATAAATCTTTCTGCCAAATGCCACCTGAGCCCCACCGCCACATGTGTGTGCTTTATGCCAGCCGCCTGACCGAGTTAGGCTCAAATGAATACACAGAAACTTGTATTAGGTACAATGCTGCTTGGCCAATGACTAGGATTCCTCATCTGTTAGCTCAGTCTCAATTATCATAAATCTATATATTTTATAAGACTTATCTTATCAGACGCCTTATTGACATCCCTCCTCGCCGGTGGCTCACATCCTGCCGCTGGAGGAGGCAAACGGGAAAAAAGGGACCCTTCCTGTTTCTCCTTCGCTTAAATATGAGTCTCCTTGCTATGTCACTTCCTGCCTGGATCAGCACTTCTCTACTACATTTAGAATCCTCTTTGACTCCTAGTTCCGTCTAACTTGCTGTCTCATTGGCCAAACAGTATATTATTTAACAATCAATAAGATAAACATACACAGTAGTACATTCCCCATCAGGGAGCATTAACGATCAATGTTTCAGAGTAGGTGAGGGACAGACAGGAGAAGCAATGAAAGAGATATCTTGATAGAGGGAGTCATTATAGGGTTAGACAGAAACCTGGTGCTAGAGAAATTATAAAGAATTCACAAGGATGAACCTTTCTAAGACTCCCAGCAATAGTGGAGAGGGTATTAGAGTGGGCCTTGCCCTTTCATCAGATCAGTGACTACCCTAATTGTCATTACAGAACCTACACCCAGTAACTGATGGAAGCAGATGCAATGACCCACAGCCAGGCACCGTGCTGAGCTTCGGGAATTCAGCTGAAGAGAGGGAAGACAGATCCCATGAAGAATGAAGGTCAAAATCATGATAGAGAAAACCACAGAGACAGCTGACCCAAGCTAGAGGGAGCTCACAGACTATGGACTCACAGCTGGAGAACCTGCATGGGACTGAACTAAAACCTCTGAATGTGGGTGACAGATGTGTGATAGGATCTGCCTGGAAGTGGCACTAGAACCTATGCAAGAGGAATGAGCTGGTATTTCAGAGAACACTCCATACAGAGGGATACATTGCTCAACCTTGATACAGGGGGAGCCTTACCTTGGTATGTCAGACGTTGTTGACTCCCCCAATGAAGGCCTTACACTCTCTGAGGAGTGGATGGGTGTAGGAAGGATGGGGGTGGGGAAAGGTGAGTGAGGGGTAACTGGATTAGTATGTAAAATAAAAAATAATTGTTTAAATAAAGAAATATGATGAAAATTGCTGGCAAGTGAATGGAACTAGGAAAAGATGGGGGAAATTATATTACATGTGTTCTGTCTAGGAAAATATAACAACCAAAGATTTTCCTGAAGGCCCCGATGAAAGAACAAAAGGAACTTTAGTACTATGTCCTGGTCTAGAATCAGACATGAAACCAGATGCTGGGGCCAGTGTCTCACAGGTGTCTAGACTGAACCTTCTGTGAACAAAACACTGATTCCTAGACTGTAGTTCGTTCTCTCTCTCTCTCCCCCCCCTCTCTCTCTCTGTCTCTGTCTCTCTCTCTCTCTCTCTGTCTCTCTCTCTCTCTCTCTCTCTCTCTCTCTCTCTCTCTCTCTCTCTCTTTCGAGACAGGGTTTCTCTGTGGCTTTGGAGGCTGTCCTGGATCTTGCTCTTGTAGACCAGGCTAATCTGGAACTCGCAGAGATCTAACAGCCTCTGCCACCTGAGTTGCTGGGATTAAAAGCATGCACCACGACCTCCTGGCTAGACTATACTTATCACCCTAAGGAATCTGTCTGATATTTCCCATGTTCTGGTTCTTAGCATTGTCTGACTTGTTTCTCTGATAGACCTTGTCCTTAACTCACGCCCCCGAAACATTATATAAGACACTGCACTTCAGAATAAGTTTGCTTGGTATAAGCCATCGTCTTATGCAATACTCCCCAACTAGCCATTGCTTTCAACTAGTTTATTTCTTATCCCAGGCCCTCCATTCAACCCCATGATGCTCAGGATCTGTACTCTTGCTGATTTACATCGGTTCTGGATATTTCATTTCATATTACAAATATTACCAACTTCATGATTAATTTTCAGCTTTATT